TAGATCTTCTCATTTCATTTTTTAACAATTAAAATACCATAACTACCCCCACTTACTTTATTTATTACACCCCACCCACCTCATTTAATACACTCCACCCATATTTCATTAAGGGTATTATGGTAAACTTTCACCTTTTTTCAACTCTCCTTAAAAATCACCAAAAGTCAAAATGAGAACATCTTAGGGGGACAGAGGGAGTACAAATCATAGAAATATAGAGTAAATACCTAATACGATAGAAATACATAGCAATTAGAAACCAAAAAACGCCCTTGTCAGATCTTCCCCTTTGTCATTGATGAATTTGTGAGTAGGATGTATTTGTGACGTGCCCACTACTATCTTGAAAAGTGAGCAACTTATTCTGGGATAGATGATGTATTTGTGAATTTCCCCCTCGGAACCTTCAATATACTTGTTTTTCTTACATATATACCAACAACATATTTACATATATATTATGTAGTCATCTTCAATTGCAAAATCATCTCATAAGAGACTATACTTGTGAATATATAGTGAGTGATATTATTGGATAGTCTATGCCATTGACGTCAATGGTGTCTTTTATTAACTACTTCTTTGTCGTTAATATAATGAATGACAATAATGATACCTTTTCAAGCGCACATAACTTTGATGAAGATTAGCTGCTTGAAGATTTTCATCCAAAGCCCCATAGAATCAAGCCTTAGTACACATTGAAACATACCCACGTAAACTGTTTATTAATCAACAACTAAAAAAATACAAATTGAAATTCTATTTAGCAATGATGTTCCGATGAAGACTCGACCATGTGATCTTCAACAAAACTCATCATAACAACAACAAACTAATAGTCCAAAGTATCAGAAGACATAATATATATCTTATCTAATGCTCAGTATATACCTCCCCTTGCTTATCACGGTAGCAACTTTATCAATGAAAATGTCCAAGTAAACTTTGGATGCAGCTGTTGAGAAAAGAGTACTATTATCTATGGCATATCACATTTAAGAAAAAAAATAATACTCTGTGACTGAAACCATACACGTAAATTCAAATACTCACAACAAATTTAAAAAACACTTACTAATATACTGCTTCACCAAATTTGGGGTTAAATCTGAAAACACTGACAATAATCCCACCTATAACTATAGCTTTTTGCTTCATATACGTAGCATCCCTGAATAGGAAAAGTTTGTATAGAAGATATGAAACCATTCAAGATAGTAATGACTGAATACTTCTCGTGTTATGTGTGGAAATCAAAATAAAGAATGAAAAGGAATAGAATTTTTGTAAATTTAATATCAATCTCCTGAATTAAATATCAATTTAAGATGGAAACTTACTGTATGTTTAAGAAGGAAACGAATCTATCTTGGCTCTAAACGTACTATGGCATCGCAGAAAGAAACGTTTCTGTCAACTGATCTCCCCTTCATTGACTCCAATTACATTCAAATTTACTATTTTAACTCCTGTATTTCAAAAATAGAATAAAAAATTTAATATGTAAATTTTCGGGTATTCTTGCACCGTTGAATAATTTCAATCGAATAAAGCATTATTGTAATCTTGAATATTCCGAACTTTCATTCGGTGTAGAACTCCTTGGTGAGGAAGAGATAAAGATAGATCGGTGCAATACCGATTCTTTCATTTGGCGAAGAAGAGATGGGTAATGGGCGTAGAAGAGGTTTGCAATTTTGGATAGCTTCTTTCTCTGTGAATGAGTAGGTGAAGAACCGAATTGCAGAGAGTGGCGGAATCTTGGACACGTCCATGGATCTCAAAAAGATTGGCCGAATCAACTTGCCCGTAATGACAAAACAATACTACTCTGTAAACAATAAAAAATACATTAGACATTACTTGGTTATACTTGAAAGCACATAAACACAACATGAAGACTACCATTTTAGACATGTTTCTCCAGGTCTCAAACCCTCTCCTATCAACATCAATTTCATCTCCATCATGGCATGTCTTGGCAAACTCCTCCCTAATTGTCTCAAAGTACCAGACACATTAAAAAAGGTTTCAATGAGAACACTGGCCATAAAAAGCCAAACTCACTTGATGTGAGGACAGTGTCTCTTGTAACCTACAAAACCAAAATTCACAAATTCACCCATTACGTTATATCCTACAAAAACAAAATCTACAAATTCATCCAAAATTGAATAAAGGACATGCCAAAATTGAATAAAGGAAACTCTAAAAATTAAATAAAAATTGGAAAATCGACATTCTAAGAATGGGGGAAATTGACATACCAAAATTTAATAAGAATTACATATGAATGGGGGAAACAAACCTAATTCTTGAAGCCACGAAAAATTATGATCGCAAATAGGGCTCTTCGTAATCTTGAACATATCCAGACTTTCCTTCGCTGAATACTCGGTGTAAAGTCCTTTCCTTTGGCGAAGGCGAAGAATTGGGGATGAAAAAATCGAGGTGAAGTGCTTTCCTTGGGAGAAGCAATCGGCGAAGTAGAAATTAGCGAAGAAGTCGGATTCCCTTGTGAAGTAGTGTCATCGGGAGTTTCCAGGTTTTCTTTCCTTTCGTAAAATTCTCACAGATTGCCAAGATGAGAGGGGGAAGATTCGGGTACTGGGAAGGAGCTCACCAAGTGGCATATTGGTATCAATCAACCCTAATTTCCGGTAAAAATTAGGTAAAAATTGGGGTAGCCGAAGAAGAAGAATGGAAAGGAGTATCGCAGTGCCTGGATTTCTTTCCTTCCGTGATCCAACGCAGCGAGGAATCAGGGTTCGTTTCGCGTGAAGTTTTGCAGCAGATTTCTTTCCTTCCGCTCAAAGAAGTTGGGCGAGAGAATTAGGAGTCTAATTCTTCGCCAAACGGGTACTGGAAGGAACTTCGCCTGTAACTGGACGCGTGTCATCCGACGTGTCATCAAATTAGGAGGTCTAAATTTGCCCCGCGTCAAAATTCTAGGCTATCAACTCTCAAATATTATATTAAAGGATTTGTATGTAAAAAAATACAGTAAAGTTTATAAAATAAATTATTAAATATTTACTTTTGTTTATAAATTTAATTTTTGCAATCAAATTAGATTTAATTTATTCATTAACTAGTACTCTGACCTGTGTCATGCACGGGGTCAAAAGAAATTTATTTCGATTCTGAATTATTTCAAAGAAATTTATTTTTCAAAATAAAGAAAATATATTGCTCACATGATTTTTAATACTATAAATGAAAAAAGACAAAGTAAAATAAATAATATTTGAGAAACAGAATGTAGAGTTAACAATGTTTATTTTAATATCAAAATTTTTGAAAGATTTCAGGGTTTAACAATGTTTATGACCCTTTTTTGTTGAAATATTTCTTTTCTCCTTTCTTTTGCATCTCTAGCCGATCTCATCCATGTATCGCCAACTTGATTTTCCATAACCCCAATTGAAATTGAAAAATAGTATGCTCCTACCTCCAATCCTTTAAAAAACAAAAGGCTGAAGTTGAGTTAACGATTGCATAATCAATTCTGAATGCCTATGTATTGAAATGGAAAATGAAAATGGATAGTGGATGTCACATTCCAACTCATTATGCGGAGACCAAAGATTAATGTCAATGTAAATATAGAGAGATAAATGAGTGTACCATTTATGGAAGCCTAAGAGTAGAGTAGGAAGTTTGTCTAGGGTGGTAAGCTTTGACTTGTTGTAGAAAATGGTGAACAAGGTCGAGATAGACATGAGCTAAAGCACAAACGAAATCAATTCAACCTTGATGAGCAAAAAAACCTCAAGTTCATGAGGCAAGTTCAGGGCATGAGGGATTCTTCCGCCAATGATGCTAGGATCGGAGTGGGAGTAGAATTGAACGGTGTTGGAAGCCATTTGGGTGATTTTGAGAAAAACATTTGAAAAAACTTAGAGAGTGATAGAAATAAATTCCATCAAGAATTTGATTTGAGGAGCCGGATTGAATATAGACTAGCTAAAAGAACAGAACAAATCAAGAATAGAGCTCGAGGGAACGATAAAAGAACACAAGTGTATTAGGTGTATTTAGCTTGAGACATACAATGTGTGTCATGAGATATTATACTAGAAAAGTTATAACCATGGTAAACCCCATTTCTTCTTAATCTTCCTTTGTCATTGATGTTGTGCCAAGCTATCCCGCCCAATCAGTGATCTGACGTGGTCCGTCCTATGTATGGTGGGGTTGGGCCGAAGGTCCACCAGTTGCTTGTTTGTGGACTAGGATGAGGAATAGATGACTCTTTCATGTTCGTCCTCCCAATATCAATCATGTGTGTTGATCTCCAATGACACTTGAGTATCGTCCACTGGAAAATGCGTCGTAGCCATCATGTATCTTCACGAACTTCGATTGTGGAACGAGCAGTTACACATGCTTTCCCTCAACTCTCATCATTGCCGCCACGCACTTCGCCTCCGTCCTATTATGATAAGAAGCGCAGACACCGCCGCATTTATTCTTCACGATTCCTCTGTCCCTTGACCCATTTTCACAACCTATTTGAGAAAATGTTATAGTCTTTTCACATCTTATTTTGTCAAACCTTTGATCTATTTTTCAAATATATAAATTTTAGTTTTTAATTTCTTAGCAACTTTCAAATATATTGAATTGGAAAATAACTTAAGTGGAACTCGTTAACAATAACATGCGACCTTTTTTAGGACAGATGGAGTAAAAGCCTAACACTCTCATATAATATTAATACTTTTAATTTAATTTTTGCTTTCACACATAAAATAACAACATAAGGTTTACTATGATGGAATAATAATTTGGTTAAGAATGCTTTAATAAAAGACAATATTTAACTTTGACTTATATCAATATTTATAACTTTTTGTACGGAGTATTAATATTATTCCCTTCGTCAACAAAATAATTTCTTAATTTGACTTTCATCAAACTTTTAAATTTTGACTGATTATCACAAAAAAAGATATAAATTGTAATTTCATATAAATATAAAATAAATAGAGATATTACTAATCATATTATTACATTAGAAACCGTAAAAGTGGAATAAAAGCATAATTTATGATTGTATGTACTAAAGAAATTTTATTATATTTTGAAGAGTTACAATATTTGGATTCAAAATAAATTTATTCTCAAATAATAGAAGGACCATGTGTAAAGGACAAATTGGGTTATGGAAAGGTAAAGATAATGAGGACGCCATTGGTGTTGGTACATTCGATTCGTTACTGGTTGATAAAGACTTGGTCAACGAAAGCTTGGAGAAACTTAGAGGACGACCCGCCCTCCTCTAATGCCTTCCTGCTCTTCTCTTTCATTTCTTTAGCCTTCTTCCTTGCCGCCGCCGCCGCAGCAGGGCCGTCGTCCATTAGCTTCCTGATCCCCGCTTCTATCGTCTCCGCACCCACCGTTTCCGGGAACTGATCTGGATCCCCCATCATTGGCTTTTTGTAGTCCATCTTGAGTTCCACTCCCGATCCGATCTCCGTCACAATTTCGAACGCGTTCGCCTGCTGCTCCGCGTAAATCGGCCAAGTCGCCATTGGAACCCCGAACCAGACGCTCTCCAGGGTCGAGTTCCAGCCGCAGTGCGACACAAACCCCCCCACAGCTGGGTGGGCCAGCACGGCGGCCTGAGGCGCCCATCCGATCACTTTCCCCGTCGATTTTGTCCTCTCCGAGAATCCTTCCGGCAGAACCTCCTCGAGGCTGCTGTAGTCTCCCGGGTAGAAAGATCCTTTGGGCGGAGGACGCCTCAGGGCCCACAAGAACCGGTGGCCGCTGCTCTCGAGCGCGCGAGCGATCTCCTTCACCTGCGGCTCCGGGAAACTTCCGCCGCTTCCGAAGCAGAGGAAGACGACGGAGGATTCCGGTTGGTTGTCGAGCCATTGGAAAATCTCTTCCGATTCTCCGATCTTATCGCTTTGCAGGTTCAGAACGGGTCCCACCGGGTACAGGGGTGGGAGCTCCGATTCCTCTTTGGACAAGGTCTCGAGCGCGTGTTCCTCAAGCTCGAAGAATGTGTTTACAATTATGCCCTTCGCCGTTCTGATTAGCTTCCCAACATCCAGAAACACGTCCGACCCTCCGTCCTTTTCCAAAAATACTCCCGGCAGAAGCTTCACCGGAAAAGGTTTAGTATAAGTGGGCACTTTCAGATCTGGATCGGAATCTTTGAACTCGGTGACGTCTACGCCGCAGCAGTCTCTGAGGCTTTGGAGATGGAGGTGGAGGCCGAGGAAGGCGGCGCCGGAGGTGTAGTACACGTAACTCGGAATCCCGAACTCATCGGCAACTTCCATCATGGACACGCAAAACATATCCACAACGACGCCGCCGAGCTTGAAGGAGGTGCCGGAACTACTCGTCCGGAATTCGTTAATCCAATCTCTCACGCTCTGCCTGTGAGAATCGATCAAGGAACGGAAAGGATTTTTCCTCTTGGTGTCACCATTCGTGGCCGGAGCTGAGAGCGGCACGAACTTCAATCTGGACGCCGAGGGGCTGTCGACGGTGGCGGTGGCAAGGGATTCAACGTAAGAGTTAACTTTGGAATCGAAAGGGGATCTCATGATCAAGAGGGAGATGGAGAGATCGTCACGGCGGTGTTTGTGTAGGAGGAGCTTTGCCGTTTCGACGGCGGAGAAAAGGTGGCCCATTCCCGGGGCGGGAATGAAGACCAGCTCAACACCTCCCACTTTCATTTTGCTCTGAAAATTGACCGAAAATCTCAGGGTAGTCAACTAATCCAATGGTTTGAAGTTTTGAGTATTGTTGTGATATTTATTTATATTGCGTCCTTATTCATTTTGCCTTGACGGCTATATATATAGTGTATTAGTGTTTGCCGAGTAGTAAAAGGAATAAAGCAGGGTGGGTGTATATCTAGATTTGTGTATCACTTACGGAGTATATTATTGTTATACCCCTCTGTCCCCATATATTTTTTCATTAGTCTTATTTATTTGTTTTATATAGATTTTTTTATTATCTTTTTTAAATATTTAAAATACTACAACTATCTCCATTTGTTTTATTTATTACACTTTTTCCACTTTATTTAATACACTTCACCATTTTCATAAAAGGTATTTTGGTAAACTGTCACGTTTATTCAACTCTCCTAAAAAACCGCAAAAAGTCAAAACGAAAAGATCTTAAGGGGACGGGGGAGTACATCAAATCTATTATAAACACACACATATAACAATTACGGAGTATTAATATATTGCAAAAATAATAGTTGTATCATGTATGTGTGGGATGGACAAGAATTTCAACAAATAATCCCACTTGATGGACGGATCGTACAAATAATATTGATTCAAGAAATCAAGAATTATGAAACTATACGCTAAGTTTAGTTTGAGGATCCTTGTTCCGATCCTCTCTATTTATACATGTCTCTTACATAATTAAGGTAATTATTGATTATGGAAGCTAATTCCCAGGATTTGCGCGATCCTATTTCTCCGGCACTATTTTTGCGACCTAGCCGCGTTCTCCTTCTCAGCAGGCGGACCTCCAATGGCTCTTTGGTTTGGGTCGACTTAGACCTAAAGCTTCGGGTCGACCCGAAACTAACTTTCAAATAATCGCGGGTCGCAAAACACACCTGGGCACATATGTTGGGCTGCCAGACAGGTAACGGCCCATCAGTGTGTCTATGATACACCTATTAATATATAAATCTTGATGTACTCATAACATAACATAAATGATCTTCTGCTTTGAATAAAAATGATTTTTGAATAGATCATAACATTTTGTGAAAGGGAAACATTCCCTTTTATCTATAAATAATATTTTATCTACCCCTAAATAGATTGCACTATTACTATTACGAGCTTTCAACAACCTTTGTTTATTTATAAGTTTTTTAATAATATTTAATAATATAAAATATTTTTATATAAGAGGTAACACGAATAATTTATTTTATTAAATAATCAATGAAAAATACAAATAAGTAAAAGTTATCAACATGTGAGAAAAAAATATAATCAACTTTAGACGGAAAAAGTAAAAAAAAATTAGGGATATGCTAGGGGTACACCAAAGGTGTACCCCAAATGTACACCACCCCTCTCTTTACTATTCATTTTATTTTGTTTTTAATTTTTATTTTTTTATTTTTTGAATTTTTCTTACTTTTTTTTGGAATACACTTTTGGTATATTCCTAGTATTTTCCAAAAAATTATACTCCCTCCGTCCCAGAGTATTTGTCCACTTTCATTTTTGCACACCATCCAATACACTTCTTTAATCCATTTTATCTTGTAATTTGTATATTAAAAAATTATAGAAATTATATATTAGTAATCTATATGTTAAGACAAATCAAACAAGATCACGCATGACTATATTTAGGCTTATACATTGAGAGAATTTGATGAGTCAAAGTGCTTAGATGAAAAGTTCTAAAAGTCAAAAGTGGACGAATATAGCGGGACAGAGAGAATAATTGGGTGTGTCATTCATGAATGTCACGGTTTAGAGCAACACTAATGGGGATGATTGGATGAATATGGAGGGGAATAGCTTATGTGTCAAACGCGAATGGACAGACACGATAGCGGAAAGTGATACGGGTGTGGTTGAGAGAGAAATAGGGTAAATAGTGTCGGTATACCTCGTAATTTATAAAAAAACACCAATACCTTCTCTGTTTTCAAAACTTATTTCTAAAGTTATTGTGGTTTTAAAATGCTACACTCGTGCTCCCTGTGATCATTTTCCGGACATTTTTCCAGCGAAGAAGAGGGCATTGATACATATTTTAAACCATAGGGAGTGCTGATTTTTGTTTCTCGCTTATTTTTTCATTTTTTTCATTTTTGTTTCATTTATTAATAAAGGTTTGTTTAGATTATTTCTATAATGCTCTTAAAATTTAAAGTTATTTTTGTTTGAAAAATTAACATATAATGCATATGTACGTTTCAAATTAACAATTTTTGTTTTTTTAAAACAAAGTAAATTTTTTTGAGAATTTCAAAAAAACGAGGAATAAAATAAGAAATAAAATAATACAAAAATAAACATGAATATCCTTTTAGGACATCTCAATTCTAAGGACTTTTTTAGGCATGTTATTTTTTTTGTATAAGATTTTTTTGCGTATTTTAATTTTTTCATTTCATTTTTTCGTATTTTTATTTTTTTATTTTTGGGTTTTTTTGAACTTTCCAAAAAATTATTTTAAGTATCAAAAAATGAAAATATTTAATTTGAGATAGATGAAATGTATGTTAATTTTTTTATTTTTAAAATATTTAAAAAAAGGAAAACACAAATAATAAACAAAAATAAGAAATGAGCATGAATGCCTCTTATGGTTTAGAAATTATGCGTCAATGCCCACTCTTCGCTAGAAAAGAGCCGGAAAATGATCAGAGTGGTGTGTGTGCAACGTTTCAAACCACAAGAACTTTAAAAATAAGTTTTGAAAACATAGGGGGTATTGATGTCAATTTTCCAAACCACCAGGGACACCAGAGCTATTTGGCGGAGAGAAATATTTTGCTTCTGAGAGAGAAAATTTGTTATTGGTTGATAGTCATTTTTTTGGGTTCATACTTCATACACCTCTTTCTCCTCATCCATGTACCATCCAAATTCAATTTTTTTAAATGTTCCAATTGCCACCGTTTTTAACATTTTCAATTTAAAAATGTTTTAATATTTTAGTTTATTTTAATATGTTAATTGTCACAAAAGTTTTCCCCTCAAAATTTTGTTATATACTCGATTAAAAAATAAAAATTACTTAATTTACAAGAAATAAAATCAAATATTTAATCAAAATTTTATTGAAGGGAATGATTTTAAGGCGCTGATGAAGGCTACAATGGTCTTGAGGTTATGTGTTATGAGGCGTCAGGAGGGGCTTCACCACCCTCCGTCACGCTCATCTTCCACAACATCAATTTTGTGACAGGATATTACATTTTATTTTTATATTCTAGCAAATAAAATTTAAAACATATTTATCTTTCATTACATTTCTTCATACTTACATAAACGCATACTACCTCCGTCCCTGAGTATGTGTCCCGTTTTTTTTTTGTCAACTCTTTTCAACCTTTGATCTATAATTAAATAAAATATATATTGTATATTAATTAAATAAAATAATATTTTGAAAATGTTTAATATAACAAATCTAATAAAATTGTTTGTGTATCAATATAAAATATCTATCATTTTCATTTAATTTGAGTTCAAAAATTATTTATTTTGACTAAAAAAATTAAAAATAAACAAATATTCAGAAACAGGTGATGTATTTTTTACTCTATTATTCAACATCATATTTTTTACTCTATTATTCAACATCATATATCTTGATATTCTTTCTAACTCCAAAACGAAATAATACGTGGCCTGATCTCATGGATGAGCGACTCATGGTTTTACTTTCTTTGGTAGGATCCCTTTTTGGATTTTTCAAATCAATACTCTGACTTTTTGGGGTTGTGTTATTTACACTTCAACGCTTACATAGTGGACTCTTATTACTCCATCCGTCCTAAAATTTTCTTTCCGTTGCACAAAACAAAGAAAAATCTCAAGTTTTTTTAATCTATTTTATTTAAATTTTGGAATAGAAATAAAAAATAAAACATACATGTTTAAAAACTACATCAATAGTTCAACAAAACAAGTGGTGACAAGAATATTTTATTTTATCATATAGGCCATGAAAAAACACAAATAAATATAAATTTCCGTGAAGTTGGAATAATGCTTTGGGAAGAAAGTTTTAGGACGGAGGGAGTAATATTCTTTCAGAGCTCTATTGTACCGCACGAGAATTCTATTATTTGTAACAATTTTTTATGCGCACTAGACATAATGTGACTTCTCTAAAAATCATATTACATCCGTCCCAAAGTATTTGTTCACTTTCATTTTTACACAACATCCAATACACTTCTTTAATCCTTTTTATTTTGTAATTTGTATATTAAAAAATTATAAAAATTATACATTAATAATCTATATGTTAAGACAAATCAAACAAGATCACACATGACTATATTTAGGCTTACACATTGAGAGAATTTAATGAGCCAAAGTGCTTAGATGAACAGTTCTAAAAGTCAAAACTGGACGAATACTCTGAGACGGATGGAGTATTTAGATTATACCATAATTTAAAACTATCTCGCCGGACGGGGGTGTAAGAGCGTCAAAACTAGACGTTCCACCTTATTAATATTTGTTTCCTTAAAAAAGGATTATTACAATTTGACATTTTGACTTCTTTTTCAAATTGCATAATATTTTAATTACAAATTAAATTTAGTTTTAAATAATTAAATATTAAAAGATTTGATATATATCAAATTATAATTTAAAATGAACCCACACGATATTAACTCAATTTTTTGAGAGGAAAGGCCCATCAAAGTAGCTTGCGGCTTGGGCTTTCACTTGGGCTTGCACTACTACTTGGCCCGGCACACCCCATGAAAAAAATGAACCCAAATTTTACTAAATTTTTATTATAGTGAAATATTTTTCCATAATTTAGAGTTAAAAGGTTTTATAATTTGACCAAAAAAGTCACATTATAATATTCTTTTTTAGATAAAAGGAGTACATTGTATCTCTCCACCCAAATGTTAACCTTCTCTAGTTTTGTTTGTATTTGTAATTTTACTCATTTCCTTTTTAGTTCCATCAGCTCTTTTTATTTCCCGAGTCCATATACGAGAGCTCTCTCAGAACTGTCAGACAATCATTTAAGAAAAAATAAATTGAGTTTTAACCATAAACTGACTGAC